AGATCTCATTTTATAGAGAATTACTCTGCTTATGTTGAGTGAATTTGTTTGTAAGTCTTAAAAGTAGAATTTATACTGAAGGATTAATTTTAAACTTTAAAATACTACAGCATCCTCCCCAAAGACAAAGTGGGGGATATATGAGATAGGATGGGCAAAATGTTGACAGTCCTTGAAGTTAGGTGATGTGAACATGGGGGTTCATTGTACTAGTCTCTCGATTTTAGTGCATGTTTTAAATTTTCCATAATATTTTTTAAAATAGGAACATGTAATCTTCAAGGAGATTTAAGGACAGAGTGGTTTTTGCACTTGACTTTCTCAATGAGAGAAAATAACAAGGATGCTATGCACGAGAAGATTAATATGACATTCCACTTCCCATGAAAATGAATGTTAACTCCTAGAATCACCCTGAAGGTAAATCAAATCAAAGTACTTTTGCTTCCATATCTGACTGCCAAGCAGAATTTATGAGACCGTAATAGTCCTTAGTCCCACGATTAACAGCATCTCCATGTAGACATGATATGCTTCACTGGGTAATATAATAAGCAAAAATAAATAAATAAATAAACATTAAAGATTCTACATTGCTCTCCTTAAGTATGGACTGGTAAAATATGTGCCTTTTAAAATATATATAAATGAGGTAATGCTACAAATAGAAGTCTTAAGGTTAAGTACTTAATATACTCATTTAGGGTTTTTTTCCTGCAGTGAGTAAGCCAGATTTGCAGTAATCTGCAATCTTACTTTATGATCTACAGGATGCATTTGAGCTGCAGTTGTCTGTGATTATATGTATTATGGTGAAATATCAAAACTAATTGGTTGTTCTGCTTGTGATTAAGATATAGAAAGATGTATGAGACCATCACTTCCAACCTAACAACTAAAGCAAGCTGGATAAGCTATAAAATCATAGTTTCAAAAAATCCACCAGAGAGATGAGGATGCAAAGAAACCTAAATAAACTAAATTCCAAAAAGTTACAAGACCTTCATAGGAGAGAAGAAATCCATGGCTGCCTCATCCCTGGCAGAGTAGCAGGTGGAAGATAAATCCACTGTAGATGGAGGTAAGGAGAAATAAGCCAAATCTTTAATGAATTTTTAATGGTTGCATGTAGACTAGGGTGACAGATTTGAATTCTGAGGAGCCCTAGGCATAGACCGAGCCTGTATCCACCCACCAAACTTCCTCACGGTCTTTGCCAAGTGCACAGGGGGTACATAAAAGGCTGGAGGTAAGAAAGGATTGCTGAGGGAAATCCTCCCTAAGACACAGATCTCCATTAAATGCAAGAAAGCCACTTTCCTAAGATGGGAGGCAGGGCAGGAGAGCTGAGAGAAACCCCTCTGAGGCATTCAGACACTTCTGAAAGGGCTAAGGCATCTGCTCTCTGAAGGCTGGGGGCAGAGCAGTGGGGCAAAGAAAGATCTCCCAAGACTCAGAAAGCTGGGGCATAAAAGAATACATAGAGCATTCTATGCGACTTTCTGGGATGATGGAAATGTTCTACATCTTGTTTTGAGTGGTGGTTACATGAGTATATAAAATTATCAAAACTCATTGCAATGAACATCTAAGAACTGTGCATTTTAAGGTATGCTTCAATTTAATAAAAAGCAAAACAAAAAGGAATCTAATGTGAAAAACAAATACTAACTGATCCATTCAATGACCTCCTCAGAGGAGACTGACGTTAGATTTTGAAATCTGGTCTCTCCATCTGACAGCTGGTAAGTAGAAGCAGATCTTAATGCTTATTGTTTAGATACGGTGTGGATAAGCTGTGGCTGGTCTCAAAGTTTTACAGGGACCTTTTAAAGAATTTTGTTTGCAGGTTGAAGGGATATGCCAAGCGAGAAATCTATCAGAAAATTGATGGAGGTGAAAAGAAATAAAGACACAAGTATTCCAGCAATAAATGGAAATAAAGAGAAACCTGCCTTTTTCTCTTGAGGTATGGTCATTCTAGAGTTCTAATCTCTGTCTAAATGCTCTAATGCTCCGTTTTTCATGTTCTTTCCCCCTGAAAACACATCCCTACCACTAGGAAAAAGAAAGCTTGTCTTCCTGCTAATGAAGCTGAAGAGAAAAGGCCTTCCTTCCTCTGACAGGATGTTCTCAGGGCTTTGGGACAGGGAGTCTTGCTGGTGCCCAAGGGCTGCATGTCACTTTTACAGCTCCTTCCTTCATGATCTAATTACGGCTGAAATGAAAAGAAGGAAATTAAGTCCTGATGACTGTGTGTCCTAGGAAAGGTTCAGGGTAGCAGAGCTGGCATGGCCAAGCAGAAAGAGGACTCAGTAGCCTGTCAGAAGCAGTGGCTTCCATTTTCTTCTCTCCACCAACGTGAGTTATGAAGGCAGCATGAGCTGGTGGAATGATAATAATACCTAAATAGAATAATAACAGCACCTAACATTGATTGAGAGGTAAGCATGTACCAGCCACTATGCTAAATTCTGCCTATCTATTAATTTGTCCCTTATAGTATCTTTGAGGTAAGTACTATTATCATCATCATTTTACAGATAGGAAACTGAGAAGTTTCCACAGCCTGTTAAGTAGTGGAGCCCTGAATTTGAAACCAGGCAGTCTGACATGAGAACTCAATATCTGTAAGTCCTTCTACATGAAACACTATTCTGCTGGGCAGATTTTGGAGTTAGAAAGCCCTGAGTTCAAATCCTAGTTTTACTACACACTGTGATATGGCTTTTGGAAGGTGAGTTAACCTTTGTAACCTGTTTTACTTATAAAATATAGATAACTTAAGAACTCACAAAGTTATTGTGAGGCTTATAGACAATTAATGTAAGAGCCTGGCTCCTAGCAGGTGCTCAAAACATGGTAGTTATTGTTAATGATAATAAATCATATTAGCTCTTTAATATTCATTTCTGGATCATCTATATATGGTGTGTGTGTGTGTGTGTGTGCAAAGTATACATAAAGGAATTGATATGAATAGAAAAGGAGAAATGAAAGGTAGAATAAAAGTTGTCCTTCATAATTGCACACACACACACATACACACATTTTTTTTTCTTAATTTCTTTCTCTAGAGGTGCTGAACATAGCAATTTAACATTTTAATTAAGGTGTGCAATTGATACACACAGGAGGGGACCATTGTCCTGGAATGTCATTCATAGGAACTGAAAGTGTAAACATTTCAATTTGCAAACACTGAAGCATCATGGTGTACTAGCAATATCTCTAGTCTTGGAACCACCCACACTTCAGTGCAAATCTTTCTTCTACTGATTTATGGCTATGTGACCTAGAGCGAGAAAGGTTATTTACCTTCTGGAGCTTCAGTTTCTCTCATCTATAAAATGGAGATAATTATGCCTGGTAGTTCGTGTTAATGATTATAATACACATTAAAGCTTATAATGATTATAATATGTGTAAAACACCTGGTCTCTAGTAGATGCTCCATAAATTGTAGCTAAATTATAATCATCATTACGCCTTTATGTCCTCTATCATAGTCATACCAGAAGTCAACCACAATTTCCATTTGTTTTCCATAAATCTTACAGTAACATCTTACTATAATTACACATCAATTATTGGAGTCTGTCCGGGACTTGCCCAAAGACAGGGCTTAAAAATTTATTAATTTTAAAGCTTTCCTTGATTAGGTACAAAAAGAATTAAGTTAAGAAACAATCTCTTTTTAAGTCCGTGGAAGGGAGTGTTTTATTAATTTTTATTGCAAATTAACTTATGGTTTTAATTAATTATATATTTTTAAATTTTTAAATTAGATTTTAATTAAAATTCTTTAAAGTCTACACGGAAGGATTTTTCCTCTGTATTTTAGTCAAGGCTTTTTGGGCAATAGGCCGGCCAGCTCAGAGACTGAAAATTGAACTCTTTTCTGTATGTGGCCTTTAAAACATATATACATACTCTCTTTCACATACATACACACACACACACACACACACACACACACAGTCAGACAGGGAAGAAATAGAGAGGCAAAGTTCGGGGAAAGTCAGCAAAAACAGTAACGAAAGAAGTCCAGAGACCTGTAGAAAATGAAAACAAGAGAGAAACAGGGTCAAGTGAGAGTTGTCCGGGAAAGATACAGAACATCATCTTTGAAAGGGATGTTGTGGGCACTCATTACGTAATATCTGCGGAAGTGTTCTGGTCTCCTGAGAGATGGGCACTCTATCAATACGAGGTTTTATGGTTTCTGTCTTTATAACTGAGAGATTGATATTCTTTGGTAAGAGTCCATATCCACTGTAGAAGGAACACAATTGGAAGTCTGAAACTGCACTTTCTCCTTTTTCTCCAACACAAAAGTCTCCTTCCAGTGTGTGACCTTCCATGCAAAACAGCTCATTTTTAAAGCTTAGTTCCAGTCTCTTAAGGATCCTTAGTTACAAACCATGGGAAAGGATATCATGTGACAGGGGAAATGTCCTGCTACAATCACCCTTAGTGAAGAGAACAGGACACTGTTTGGTAGTCAGAAGAATTCTTAATCGTACTAGAAACAGAGAGAGGATACCATGCTCTCATTTCTCAACTTCTCTCATTTTCCCTTGTGAAAATACTTCAAGGTGATCATTAATGGGATATAGCAGTTAAATTCCTAAGAAGGGTGCTCGCTTCAGCAGCACATATACTAAAATTGGAACGATACAGAGAAGATTAGCATGGCCCCTGCACAAGGATGGTTATAAACCAATGTTACTGCAATAAACAAAAAATTAAAAAAAAAAAATTCCTAAGAAGGTTTAAAAAGTATGTTGTAGGAGTCAGTATTCGCTTCAGCTTAAAAAAAAAAAAAAAGGAAAAGGGAAAAGAAAAGCCAAAGGAAAGTGTTTTTTTCTCTCCCTCCACTATCACTGATTATGAAATGCGTGTTCATGCTAGGACTGCTGAACGGTAGCAGACATCACAGTCTGAATATTATAATTAGAGTAACAATATGCAAGCGGTTTAAACACTAAGTCACTTACCTTGTCAGTAGAAGAAATAGTTGGCAAATCTTCCGGAGCCAATGCAGTGTCATTAGATAAGGAGATATTAACTGTAAAAAAAAAAAAAGACAATTTTTTACTATAAAAACAAAGTAAATATGACCTAAACGCAAAATTAGAAATCTACAAAAGCAGGGTCAGGCATTAAAAATGTCTTCAATCACAATATAAGGGCACAATGAATTTTTCTTTATTATAACTGTATTCACCTTTTACCTAGATAAAATAACCAAAGAGTTGGACATGTCTATTGTGCTCTAATCTGATAAGAAACAATGAAAAATGTTTAAGGATACGGTATTAAAATGTATTTGTTTCAAGTTTCAAAAAAAAAAACTCTGTTACTAAAAGGTACTCAGTATATTTTGCCTAGTGGAAGAAATGGCTGTTACTAAGTGAGTAAGCTGATGATTGGCTTCATGTACACTCAAATCTCACAAATAAGAGTTTTACCAGTTAAGGATTAACTGCTTTGGAACTTTTGGAAATTTGGACTGCGTATGAGAAAGTATATTTTTGCAAAATGTGTGAAAACAAAGAAAAGTACTAAATAAATAAGAAATTATATAAATATAATGGGAATGAATATTTAATCTCATTTAAAAAATTATTTTCATATAATTTGGCATCATTTGTGATTTATTAAGATGTCACTTGCAGAAGAACCTAATTTATTTATCAAACCAACCCTCCTCTTGGACATATTTCATTGTTTTTTTTCTATTTATGAGTCTAAAATTAAAACACAGTATTCAAAAAGTATTCTATAATTAAAACATTTTTCTTTATCAGATAAGCGTTTTTCCTTTTATGTGAAGCTTTATGTGTTATAAAATAAAGTGTTTCTCAGAGAATATGCCTAATTTATGGAAATATTGTGAAATAACACCTATCAGGTTTTTGTCTTTAAGGATCACATAGTTCAGGTAACATCCAAATTGCTACTTATTGTTTGGTTCCCAAGCTCTCCCTGCCAAACCCCTAGCCTGTCTTTTTAGTTTGCCAGGTTTTAGGTTCACCTACATAAACTTTAAAGGAGAAATAAACAGGTTTATTTGACTGTTGAAATTCAGAATATAAGATCCATGAGGGACGAATAGAAGGGACATGTCTTGTTCACTTCTTTTCGCCAGAATCTGCCCCGTCTGGCACTTAACTAACAGTAACTCAAAAATATTTGTTTACTACTCAACCTTAAAAAAGAAGGAAGTCCTGTCATTTGCAACAACATGGATGAACCTGGAGGGCATTATGCTAAGTGCAATAAGCCAGACACAGAAAGACAAATACTGCGTGGTATCACTTATAAGTGGAATCTAAAAAAAAAAAAAAAAAGTCGAACCCATAGAAACAGACATGAGAATGGTACTTGCCAGGGGCTGGGGGGTGGGGGAAATAGGGAGATGTTGGTAAAAGGGTACAAACTTTCAGTCATAAGAAGAAGGTCTGAGGATCTAATGTATAACATGGTGACTATAGTTGATAATATTGTACTGTATAATTGAAATTTGCTAGGAGAGCAGAACTTCAGTGGTCTCACTAAATAAAATAAAATGAATATGTGAGGTGATGGATATGTTAACTAACTCGGTGGTGGGAATCCTTTCACAATGTGTATGTATATCAGATCATCATGTTGTACATTTTAAATACATTACAATTTTATTTGTCAACTATACTTCAATAAAGCTGAAAAAATATTCATTACTGTCAATAAAAGAAGCTAGGAAAGGGGCCATTTAATGACTACAAAGGAAGGAGAGCAGATAAAGGCAAAAGAAATGAAATAAGAAAAATAAATAAAAGGGGAGAAAATATTTAGGTTCGGTCTTTGTTTTTCTCAATTTTGGTATCCATTCTGATCTTTGAAGACTCTGGAATTGTTAAACTTTTAACCTACAGCTAGCTGCTGCCAGGGTTTTCCTATTTCATCAGTAAAACAGGCATATGTGCAAACTGTTTTCTTATTCTCTCTGTTTCATTACAGGTCACAGAAAGAAGCAAAATAGGCTAAAGGACGCTTGGCCCAAATAAGAAAACCAAACATGGATCCATTCCCAAAAGGAAGAAGATGTTAGTAAAATTATTATTAACAAAACCTAGATTTTTATTACTATTTTGTTCTAAAAAGCTTAAAGTACATTTTCTTACATTAGTCTATGTGTTCATTTAAAAACATACAAGAGGGCCAGCCCCGGTGGCCTAGTGGTTAAGTTCAGCACAGTCTGCTTAGGCAGCCTGGGTTTGGTTCCCAGGCGCAGACCTACACCACACATCTACCAGTGGCCACGCTGTGGCAGTGGCTCACATACAAAATAGGGAAAGATTGGCAACAGATGTTAGCTCAGGGTAAATCTTCCTCAGCAAACAAACAAACAAAAAACGTATGAGAGCATGTAACATGTATACTTTTATACCTGTTTTATGTTGGATGGGACTCTGAAGCAAGCAACGCTAGGTTTCTTGCCCAGGATTATAGAGTCAATCAGAAGTAGAGTTGGCACCAAAACCTTGTTCAGCATTCTTTCTTTTCCTACTCAGCATTTTTAATTATCAAAATCAAGATGATTTATGTGGCCACAGAATTCAAGGTGGGGCAGTACTCGCCAATGTTAGAGCCAATGTTAGATGATGTGAGCTGAAGTGTCTGACTCATCTGAGCGTTTGAAGGAAAACAGCATACGTGAAATCACAGTCACTGTTTAGACTGGTGTCTAGGAAGCTGCTCTGAGCTAGATTCTTTAATGCAATTTTATGAGCTTCCTGTCACAAGGGAGTAGAGGTCTTTTTGCAGCACACTTTTTTGCATAAAAACAAGGAGTAAGAAGTGAGAGGGAAAGATATTCAAGGCTCCTTTGTGAAATGAATGACAGGTAATAAAGACCATGAGTGAACTAAAATAGGATTCCAATCTGAACTTTTAGTAACTGCTCTCAAGTTTTGGATACATGTCAATTCTGCTCATCTAAATTCCTTTTATCTTTTCAGTGTTCCTCTGAGACAAACTATTAAAGCACATTGGCACTCAAAATCTCAAAAAAAAACAGTATCAAAAAAGATAGGAAAAAATTTAAACTTTTCCTACTTATTTTAATAAGAAGCTGCTTCAAGAGAAAGACTTCAAAATAAATATATAAACAAGCACTTCCATAAATACATATTGGACGGTAGAGTCCATAAATAAGATTAAAAGTAAATTTCTTTACGATCATAGAAGAGAAAATGATCAATTTCAATTGAGAGCTTGGTCTACAAGAGCCATTGGTCACCATTTGGATCCAGACACACACAATGCAAATATTTTGGCAATCAATTGCAGAGTGATCTGTGTGTATAGAATGTGCAATATCCTTAATTAGGAGTCTAGAAAGGTCAAATGGAAAAGCCGGAAACACACTGCACTCTGTCTGTCTTCACCATTTGCTAAGAGCATAGATTATCAAGTAAAGAAACTCTTTGCTCTAGGTTATCTTGCTAATTCAGAACTATCCAATTGTCACTGGGACAGTCTGTGTCCCATACTTGGTTTCAGGGAGTTTCCACAGGTTGATCGTTTTATGTTACTTGGATTTTCACTTCTTGATCCTTCTTCCCACATATCAAATTCTAGCTGATCCTCCGGAACAAGCGAATGAACATTGTCAGCAATAGACATTTAAAAATATGTCTGTGAGTTTTCCATCTTGAGCTGGCTTTTCCTTCTTTATGTTTAATGAGCGATCTGGAGAAAGAACAGGCTGCAGGAGCTATGAGCGGACACATCCACGTGTCAATGTTAGAATACCATCTGCATAGGGAATATCAATTGTATTGTTTAAGGTTGTCCTTCTTTATCCTCTAGTGACCTGGCACCAGGAACTACCCTATGACTCCTCTGCTTTACACATTAGCAGGAACTGTACCATCAGGAATACGCACAAAAGCTCACTTGTGGCTATGAGGTCAAGTACGAGCAACCACTGGCCACTGAGGCAAATGTATCTGCTTTGATGTCTCACCACATCACAATGCAGAGAAACGAGTACTAGGAGAACTGGGCTGGAATTCTGGCTCCGCCACCTCCTGAAGCACAGGGTCCCAAACTCTCTTGCCACATAATCTTGAGGAAGTTATTTCACTCCTCTCGACCTTCACTCCTCAGGTCCCTCATTTGTGAAACTGGATTTGAAACCATCTACCTCATGAGGTTATTGCATGGATTAAATAAGACAATGTAGGCTAAATTGTTAGCACAGTGCCCAGTACCAGAAAAGATCTAAACAAATGGTAGCTAAGAAGACTACCAGCTTTATGACCTGGAGAAAGCAGAACTTAACCTCTGGGAAGAATGTCAGTTACCTCACAAGGTTTGTGTGATGATTAAATACATATATATTATAATATTACAATATATATTAAAATATAGTTTATTAAAATCCCCTAGTAAAATGTCTGGCACTTGGATGATGCTTAATAAATGTTAGTCAAATCTGAATCTATACCCTCAACACAGCTTCTTAGCATTACAGTAATGTGGAACTGATTAATCTGCTCTGAATAAGAAAAAATTTGAGTATTCTCCATAATAAGGAAACTTTAATGTTTTAGTCCATTCTATTTAAACAACGTCCTGAGGAAATTGAGTAACAGGAAAATAGATACCGAATAAAATTGGGTAGCTTCTTGCCTTGTATGGTCATGTCAGGTTTATTTAAGCGTCCTGGAAAACTTGAGCAAACGAGTGCCTCTTGATAAAGTCAAATATTTATGCTTTAACTTTCTAGATCAATAAAAGGGAAAGAATGGCTTTTGTAGGGATGACAAGGTGAATGAGGAAAACTTGGGGAGAATTAGGTCTTAGGGAAGTTATCTGCCACTGTCTCAACCTTAAGTCTTAAAATTAATAGAAAGTTTTTCTTCACTTTTTCTTGTTATTACCTTTTTTGTTTTCCTAAGTACCTTTTCCATGTAACTAGGCAAGTTCAAGTTATGACACTCTTCAGTCAATGGACGCCCTTTTCACATGTTCACCTACCACACTGCACAGGAAGTTAAAGAGCTGAGCTACTAT